AACAAAATGTACGTAGCCACCGCCTTGAGAACATTACTGGAGCATATTTACCAAGGTGTTTTAGTGGGAAATACAAGCAGAAAATAGATATCCACTCACATCACTGCCAGGAACTCACAGATTCGCACCAGCGAAATAAATAATTCGAATCCTAAATATTTGTACAAATCCACTGCCCTTCAGTTCACAACTGTAGATGAACATTTACAACAACTGCATGAACTAGTCCAACCTGTTACAGCTAATGCCACAAGTCATGCCATGCGCTCAGAAACGATATTCTGTTCTATTAGGCTCAGTCACGCAATTGGATTTGCAGAGGTGCGTTACTTAATTCGCCTGATTTTATACCTTTATACCGACGTCGAGGTTGATTTTTACACTCCAGCTTCGTATTCTGGAGGTATTTGGTTCAAATCTCGTTCTGGAAATTGTCTCTCCTGAAGTGTCCCGAGGTTTTCCTGAGACTTATTCCTTATTCATTCCAATTCATCCTATCATTCAGCACTATAAATTCTGAGGTACTGACGTTACATGAATCGCAAATAAATGTAAACCTTCGCATTCTAACAATCTGAAACGTTTCTACGCAATGAGTTATCTAGAGAATACGCAGTTTGACAACTAAAATAACTTTAATTTATTATAATGCAGTTAGAAGGCAATTTTTCTTGAAATAAAATGAGAACCGTGGGAGTCCCGAGTCTCACCGTTCTCTGAAATGCGTGCAAGACACGCGTCTGTTCCGATTGTACTCTATAGATTTCAGGTGCTGTGAGTTTCGACCGCTTAAATGGAGGTCGAGCCTTGTAAATTTTAATCGCTTAATGGTTTGTTTCTTGATGATTGTTCATGATTACTTGTATGTTTTACAACCACGCGTTATCAGTCAGGCGTGCTTGAACGGTGGGCTTCATGGAAATGATCTACCGAATTGTGAATATTATCCGACCCATAAACTGGAAAATTAGTTTTCGGGAAAGAAACATTTAATAACGACTCTTTTACTTGCTTATGGCTGGACTGTTTTATTATTGTGATATATGAAAAAAATTATAATATCTTGTCTGTTAGGGGATGGAAGAGTTTATCTTTGTATCTGTGGTATTGTAGTTACTTGTTCTATAAATTGTTTGATTGATCTATTATATATATTCATTCATATATTTATTCTAGTCTGTGTTTGTATACGTATGTATTATCAGTGTTTGCTTGTCATTGGATCCTCGCTGTTGGAAAACACTTTAACAAATGAATTGAATTAAATTCAATATCTCAAGAAGGAAAGTAGTGTGATAACAAGAAAATATACAACACTTCTATCACATCAGGGTATTATTATTATTGTTTGTAGTTATAACGTATAGCTTAATTGTAAAAAAAATACTAATTACTTTGTTGTTGAAAAGCCTCTATTTGTATTCTTAGAATGTGGCAGCTAAGGGGTTTGCCGGCCGCACATCCTATTCTGAAGGTCGCCTATTCAAATTTGTCAGGAAACAGGCTGTCCTGACTGATACTTTCCGTGATTTACATATCCCCCCAAATAATCTTGGGAGTTGTTTTACGTTAAGCCAATATGGCTTCGTTCCACTTTCAATCCAATTAATTTTTTGTACTGAAGAACCTAGATTAGTAATTTACAACGTAAATCAATTATAAAGAAACAGATAAATAAACATATAGCTAATGTAAAGTTATGCACTGCTTTCCGTCTTTGTGTGAAAAAATACGAAGCAAACCAACAGGAAAAAGAGACAGAGAGAGGGAGAGAGAGAGGCTACTTAGAATTTATAATATTTTGGAAATATGACTTCTGTATTCACGGAAAGGATTAAAATTGCAAAGATAAAATTATTAAGAGGGAATACAGGATGAATGAAGAACAGATAGCATAAAAATAAGGACATTATGAATGAATTAATTCTAGGTGTGATAAATTATATCAAAGGCCTGTTGACACAGATGTATGGAATTATTGTGCCATTATTAGGCCCATAAGAATCGCATCTCAACCGGGCGATCGAATATCCTACCTGGGAATTTTCGTACTTTTTTTAGTTTGTCTTATGTAAATTGTAGGATGGTAACAGAGGACAATCTACGACCACATTCTTCCACATTCCTTCTCGTATATCACTTATAAATGACCGTATCACTGATGCCAGGACAGTTAAATACGAGAAATATCAATAATTGTGCATGAATCACGTTGTGTCAGAAATGGTAACATATTTTGTTAACTTTCTGTCAGAAATAAAAGAACCCAATTGCGTTACAGCTACATAATTTAACAATATTAAAGAAATTTACAGTTTGCGTGAAAGATCATTTGTTTTTTAAATATTATATCAAAGTAAAAACAATTAATTTTAAAGTGTAATTAGTGAAAGTTCCATGATGTATTTCAAATTACAGGTTACGGAATGACTGAATGCAGACCGGTACCTCGTCAAAGGTAAAAGATAAAGTTTTATAATTTCTTTAAGTTAATACTATAATCTTCACGGAATAATGCTGTGAGTCTGTCACAATTATAAGAACTAAAACACTTCCATCTTCTGCCATCTTATATTTATCATTTTACATTGATAATTTAGCTTCGCGATTCGGTTTTGAGGAATACATTATAGATGTTTCGCAATTTCCTCTTACAGATACAATCATTATCGTATCGATATCACGAATAGCTTTACTTTTTTAATGATCGGTATTTCTTAATCCAGAAATATCTCTGAGGAAAAGCGTTGCTACTGTTTCCGTTTTATTACTCATAACGTCTACCAGTCAGAGCCATGGAAAGCATTGCCCACAAAATTTTGGCTGAGAAGCCTAAAGGGAAGATACCACTCAAAAGATTTAGATATAAATTGAGGGATAATGTTAAATATGTCTTACGATAATAGACCTATAGGCTCTGTATTTAGTTGATCTGCTTCAGGATGGCGAACTATTGTGAACACAGCAATAAAACGTCGGGCAATATAAATTGCGGGAAATTGTCGACTAGTAGAACATGCTGTTATCTTCTCACGAAGGACTGTGCTTCCAGGAGTTTGTTAGTTAATTACTCTTACATTATTTCTATAAACATTCACCCGATCGAAATTTACTGAATTACTGTTCCGTAATTATGTGTATCTTAAGATGATATAGTTGCGTCATATTGTGAAATTTAATTAATTATTCGGTTTTTGTCCGTCTAATCACAATTCATGTATAAAATTTACAATTAAGATAATTGGAAGTGAACATCACCAAAAATGTTGCATATCAGAAATTGTAATTAAGTTTTAAGTTTATAATTTTAACTTTTACACCTGAAGATGGTTTATATAGAAACCGAAACATGTTGTAAAAAGATGTTCCAATTGTAAATCGATTGTTCGATGAGGAACACAAAATGAAATTTTAATTATCTTAATTGTAAATTTTATATATGAATTGTGATTAGACGGACAAAAACAGAATAATTAATGTGTAACTTACTTATTTTATGCGTATAGGACTGCAGGCTTATAATATGCGGGACATGCAGCTGTAGCAGATGGTGACTATGAGTGATCATAAAGTTTATTGTTATAGATTTAAGACAAATGTTTATAGAACCTAGGCCTAATAATAAATTTCGATACCACAAGAGGAGGAATGACTTTTACTTTTACCGTTTTAATAGCTTAGAATTACGATTTTGCGTAATTCACAACACTGAAGATAAATTCGATTCCATGTTTCGTTATACCTAAGAGGAAATAAAAACGAACTAAAATTGAAAATCTAGTTCATTTCAAGTTCCTCAGCGGACGACTTCTACTCGATGTACTCGTAAAGCAATTAGCTACTGGGGCTCTGCACTAGTAGCGCATTTCGAGACGCAGCGTAACTGCAGAAGAAAAGGAATAAAAGAGAATCTAACTACCCCCAACCTCTATAGTCCTAGAGGTACGAAGTAATGAAAAAACTTTTCCCATAAATAGCACGAGAAGTTTTGCAAAATAAGATATACATTTTTCCTCGAATTGATTCCCCTTCTACTTTTATAGATATCGGAATTTACAATTCATTTTTTGTATAGAATATATTTCTGTGGTCATACTAATTATACCAAATGTGCTTTGTAATTTTCTTTGGGGGGGGGGGGGGGGTGTTATAAAAATATCTTGGATTGTTCTACTTCCGTGTCCAGGTAAAAGGAAGACAGAACCTAAATATGCTGAGCCCGCTTCAGGTTTGAGACTAGCACCAGAGCGAGGGCCAACAGATTATTGGTCTGTCCTCTTATCACCTGGTGAAGAAGTTTCTTTAAACTAGAAGATAAAGAAGATTCAAAAAAGCAATGTTACATTGTGATTAGCACGATAGTAGGAATCCTTTAAATTTATACATATTGTGTCTGTGTACTTTAATGTATTCATTTAACGAGTTTCTCTCTGAGTTTAATCATTTCCAGTAATATAAGTTAAAAGCAGAGCGTGTCTAAATACGGATTAAAATTAAAATCACGAACATGGGCATGCACCTTTGGGTTTCTATCAATTGAGATGGTTCTTATTTAAGCAGAAGTATCTTATTTAAATTTATAGGACTTCTCGGTCGTCATATCACCACAATAGGATATTTAGGAATGAATTTTATCACCAGATACATAATCTAGAAGACGCACAGCAGTGCATATTTTTCCTTGTAAAAATGTTACTTAATAAATTTAAAAGAGAGACCCTTCATACAGATGTAATTTTTTCTTCCGTGCTTGACATATATTTAAAAACTATACGTATCCAATATTCGCAGTCCAATCCAATTATTCCATTCATTATTGAGTTACACTGTAGCCAAAGATGGAATTATTTTAAGCCCTAACAAATAAAGATTTGCAACTAAGTAGAAAGTTCTCGTAAAATAATTCTTTACAATATTCATTACTTCCGATGAATTTGACTGCACCTGTTGAGATAACAACGTACTTGAACGGGTATTACATCGTTGAACAGCATCCTTACCTGGGACCGATGCGTGGGGCGAAGTGACGTGTAGCGGGTAGCCTATGTATAGCCGACCGCCGGGGAAAGTAGACAGCATCCGACTGAAGGAGCAGGTTTGTCCGCCTGCGTCTAACAGCGGCACGACCCGACGTCGGCTTGCGTGCGTGCGCTCCTGGGGTGGGGTTTACCCCTCTCTGCACTTTGTTTCAGGCTTCTCTATGTGTGACCCCTTAACTCCCATGTTAAATACATTATGTTCTCAGACGTTCACATTTGTTTACGAACATTACCTGAATAACAAGCATTGCTTCCTTATTGTGTATTTTCACTATAACACTTGAGCATATAATTTAGGGAGACAATAACAAAATTATTTTCTGCATGATCCTTAATATTTATTGTCTTCACCAACTTATTTCTCTATTTCGTCTTTCTGTTATTTCTTCTGTTTGTTCTTCCCATTTATTCTTTTTTATTTCTTCTTTACATTTTTTATTAGCTAATGGCTTTCTCCTTTTATCCTTCCTTCCCTCCCTCTTCTTTCTTTGTTACGCTGTCTTTTTAGTCATTGTAAAATTTTGGAACAGCCATATTATATCTCGTTAATTTAATTTTATGTATTAGTTAATATTCGTAACATTGGGCGATGTGTAAAACGTTACATTAACTCATATGAGCTGGCTTATAACTAACACAGAGATCGACCAGAACTGTTCTTTAGAGCCGAAATTGAAGTATGGCCGGTAGGATAATTATCACTTTTCCAAGGACGAATTTCATCTACTTTAGGCGACTTCTGATCAGCCAAAGCTAAAATTTATTGAACGTGTGTAGATGATTTTGGCATTAGTCATGACACCTTTCAATGTAATCTGTATTTATGAACGTATGTGTCCCATTTATCAAGCAAAATTGAACATGTAATACAATAATGCATGATATTATACAGTGGAATGAACCCTTTATTAATCAGCTATAACAATAAGTACGTACTCTCTGTATATTCGGTAGCTCTGCGTTTTTCTCGCAGAGTGAAATTCCGTTTCATTATCATCCAACGACAAACAGCGAATATTTCACTAAAAGACATTAAAATTTTCTGTGATAATGAAGTTGCGTTGTGGTTTTTGTGAGTTGAGAACGGAATTTTTAAATATCATTTGGACGAGTTTCGACGTGAAGGGGTTAAAATCATATGAAATTCAATTTTCCCTTGTAAAAACAGTAAGAATTTCAAAAGAACATTGTTATGTATAAATTAATTAAAAAGGCACATGCGCTGTTATAACTCGACTTTATAAAAAGCGTAGTACTTATAAGCGAAGCAGTGTAGATTGTTTGGATTTTTATTGATCTGCTTGAGACCTGGAGATGCCGAGAATTTATTATCGTCTTTTACAGCCACTTTTGAGCCAAAGAAGCCTTATTATATAAGCTCCACGTTTCTTTCATGCGACGGGTCTTATAGCTTTCGTGGACGTATATCTTGTCAGTCAGAGAGGCCACACGAAATAGCATTAGTGTCACGTGTAACTTGACTGCTGTTGGATTATTGTAAATTCTGTTGATCAGTTGACTGGGTTTACCAAAGGCTGCATATGTATTCAATGTATGTCAAATGTAAATATTTTATTGTTTGATTTTAGCAAAATAATTACCTTATAAAAGATGCGGAACTCTCTACTCTGTGGCATTGGTGTTCAATTTGCAATGCTTCCTTAATAAGTTACCCAGGTGATTATTATTTACAGAGCTGCTTTATAATGACCTATCTATGACCTAGTTTCTGCATAGTCTCTCGAAACTGCCATTTGCTCCGCGTACGTTCGACTGTAAATGATATTCCACACACGTAAGCGTTTCAGGACATAAATAGAGCCCGAGAGACGTTCGAACTTATTATGTTGGATTCTTATCTTCATTGGAAACGAGCAGAGACATGGACTGCTAAGTTTACTGGTGCACTGAATTTGTACTGAAATTGTCGCACACTCGTTTCAACTCAGTTGCATAGAAGAGAAAAATTATAACAAAAGTTGTGCATTCATTGATACTGCGCAATTTCCTGTAAAATCAGACGCTCTGGGCTCTATCAGTAACTTCTGTATAAGTAACATAGAAACAGGAACATTAAACACAAAAGCTATGTACAGTATATCTTTCTGACATTTAAAGTTAAGTATGGTTTATTTGAATAAATCAGTGCTAAAGATTACAAATGTTATCTTGTAGATTATTACCAATATTAATTATTATTATTATTACTATTATACCCTTTGGAAACTGTTAGTGTTCATGAACCTGCTCGGTAGCTCAGAGGCTTTCTATGTTCAGTATATTCTCCTCAATTAAAAAGTGCCCCTTTGCTAAATGTTAATCAGCTGATGTTGTTGTCTGCGGGTACTTTGCCATGTTTAATACAGACATTATCTCTCTAAGTTACATCTTTAATAACTTCAGTATCATGCAGCATCGCACTGCTTTGTTTTTGTGTGTATTTGTTTAGTCTTTTTTCATCTTCATCTAATTGCATGCTTAGTTTAAAACTGGCCCACAACCTTTTAAGTCGGCACGAAAATAAATAAATATTTGAATCAGTATTTAAGGTTTGGATTTCTCACACCAACTGAATGAAATGAATTGTTTTCAGACGATGATTTGTGTCAATATGGACGCAATTGTGCCCCGAAGAACTTTTTTTATTTTCATATAATTTTTACATAAACACGCAATTGTGCCCCGAAGAACTTTTTTATTTTCATATATTTTTTACATAAACTTACAGAGTGTCTTTCCATATGACAGGGCCCAACATTTTCCTTAAGTATAATATGTTCTAGACCAGGGTTCTCAACCTTTTTCGCTGGCGTACCACTAATTCTAATTTAACACATTAAATATACCACTAACCAAATACGTTCAGGGAAAATTTATTTATGTTAATATTATCTTTTGATTTTCTCACTTAGTTCGCGTACAACTCAACATTGACTCGCGTACCACCGGTGGTACGCGGAACATAGGTTGTCAAAGGTTGTTATAGAAAATACAATTGAAATTAAATTCTACTTTAATACCTTCGTCAAGATGTGTGCCATTCCAAGAATGACGTATCTTGTTGATCCAAGCTAGGAAATTGACCAGTGATATTATCTAAATATTTTTTTGGGATTATTCGAATAGTTGTTGTGTTTCCAGTTGCTGTATATCACCTTCACATTTTTATTTTAGAACAAGTTTGATCGTAAATGCCTTAGTCACAAAATCAGCTTTCCTCGTTTTTCTTAATGCATCTGTCACTGTCTTCCTGGATATGTTTTTCCATTACTAACCGGATATGATGTCAGTTATTAAGGGGAAACGTATACTGTTCCACTGAATCTTTCTATTTTTTGTATTTGGTGTAGCATTGCTCCACACTTGGGCCCTCGTAATATCCTTATTCCAAGCAAGGAAATAGACATTCTATCTTGACAGAAATTTCTTTTGGTTTCCACAGCCAATTCAGTCGACAGCGATAGTTTTCCCTTATCTTCTCTGTCCCACACCTCCCTTTAGCGTCTCTTCCGTGCTCCACGATTATATTTTATCTTCTCTCCGTGGTATTCTCAATGCAGTTGATGCATTTCTATTCACCGTTGTATCTCAAATGTTTATAAGGCATCGTTAAAGTATCTAAGACTTATGCACCGTTTAATCGTCTTGTAAATTTAAGTTTGGAACTCATAAGCTTTATCATAGTATTGTGAATGTCTGTTGGGTTTAAGTGTAACCCAACTTAGTCCAGTAAAACTAGAATATTTACTATATTTATATCTGTAATGAGTGCGGAAAGATGTGTGTTTATAGTTAATTTATTACCGTACTCCACTTTTAATAAGATCAATGTGTGCTCTTCTTAATTCCTCCGTGTAGAAAATTGATTGAACTAAAAAAAACAAAGCAACATGTTAATTGCCGCAAGAATTCCGTGGTCTGGAAGAGATAAAATCTTCTTCATAGCAACACAGAATCCTGTGTGTGACAAAAGATTTCCTGTCAAGCACCATCTGCGATTCTGCCTGAATCTCTTCTATCGTCTCAAATCTCCTTCCCTTTAGCTGAATTTTCATCTTTGGGAAGAGGAAGAAGTCACACGGCGAATAAGGAGGGTGCGGGATGACGGCCATGGTGTTTGAGGCCAAAAACTGCCGAACTTTGAGGGCGGTGTGCGCTGGCGCGTTGTCTTGATGCGTCGCATGTGGAGTTCTTCCTTTAGAATCAGCTGACAGGTCCCAACAATGTCGCACAAGTCGTTGATGGTACGACGTCGATCTTCGTGAATGGCCTGCCGAATCTTCGTACCATTTTCGGGCGTTGTGCTCGAAGATGGTCGTCCAGAACTCTCGTCATCATCGACAGAGGTTCGGTCATTTTTAAAACGTGAATGCCACACAAAAGTTTGTGCACGACCCATTTCGAAGTATTTCCCCAAATGCTTGCTTTAGCATTTCATAGGTTTCCGTAGCCGTTTTGGCGAGTCTTTGGCCAAATTTGATGCACACGCCATTCCGAAATCGCAGGAGGGTCGGTGTAATGCACTACCAAAACGCCCGTAACTAAGAAACAAATGCTAATTCGATGATGCCGGCCGGCACACTGATTCACTATGAATGTAGGCCGCACCCCCTAAAGGCAGAAGCTCGTACTACATCCGGTTCGCCCGCTATTGACACAGTCTGGAAACTTTCCGCATGTTTGGGTGTCGATTGTGGTATTCTGGATTGTTAAGCCATACAGTCTGTTACGTGGTAACCATAGTTTCTGTAGAACATTTAGCCTCAATGTTTATCTTACATCTTCAAAGGAAGGCGCTACGCCCTTTCTCCTACCTGCAGGACTACACAGCGCACAACCCAAAGGACATTTTCAGAACACGAGTACCTCAAATTTTCGATAGTTCTGCTTGGGTGTTTGTCCGTCCGTCATCGTGTTATGATATGGATTCCCGAATCTCGACCCACGGAACGGCTGCGGGTTTCTGAGTCTCTGAAAGCCAACGAAGAGATAGTAGAGTGTCTTAAAATAGGCCACGACAAATTTATTTCCCAATTATTTATAGCCCATTACTCTGCAACTCTTTCTTTCGATACTATATAACCAATGTGCTTAAAACAACATAGTTAGTACCCCACCATCATTCAAGAACGCGTTTCACTCTTTCGTAATTTATATTTATCAATAATTAATTGTTAGAAATATAAAAATGTTGGTAGGATTGACGATAATCATTGAGCTGTGTATCTTCTACATCGCAAACTTTTCTCTGAAACCGAACTTCAGCTTAAAAAGAGATCTCAGTTTTACGTAAATATAGACAGTTCTTTGACGAAAGTGCCGTATGACATTTACTGTTTCATTACCATTGTATCATAAGGAATAATTTTGAAGAGGTTACTTTTTTATTTCTACTTCCAGTCACTTAACTTCAAAAAGCAAAACTACGCATAAAACAGTTCCGTATGAGCGAGCAAATTTTGTATCTTTCTCTGTAAATACACGTGCGTATCTCGTAATTGGTGCCAGTGCCTTCGAATTTTCGTCGCAAAGACTTTTAGTTGTGTACATTTTTATCCTTTGCATTTCACTTACATTTGTACTTTTCAGCAGTGACCACTTTAATGACGTGTAATTTATACATATATAGCACATTTAACATCGTTCGGTGAAACCTTTAACGTGGGTATATGATCTGAAGCCTTCACGACGACTAATTTTAATAAATTCTTCTCGGGCTACCAGCCGTGTAAGACACCAAAGTTTCGAGAAACATCTTCGTCTTTCTTAATTTATTCATTAAGCTACTTTACACGACTGGTAGCCCAAGTATAATTTATTATATTGAACGTAGGTATTTTACCGTCCAACGTATTTGGTAATATAGAACATACAACGTTGCAAAGAATTCTCTTACGCGGTGTTTGGTTTAGTCGACGAAATCAAGATAGGGCGAGCAGTGTATCGGTTGTGAGTTACCAACGACAGTACAAAAGAATGCTTTAAATATCTCCTGGTTAAAGACCTGGACTTGAAGACAGTTATATTTTAAATATGTGTAATTTGGTCCGTTAGTGTGTAACCAACACCGACGACGAATATTTAATTGCCTTGATTGCAAGTGAAATGAAGCAACAGAGAGACACGAATTATCTGTTCCACTCGTAGAGACGTATACATCAATGTTACTAAGAAGATATAGAAAATTCCCCTTGTTGAAACAGACACATTAAGTATCAGGAAATAAATGGTTTATATAGAAAATTCCCCTTGTTGAAACAGATACATTAAGTATCAGGAAATAAATGGTTCGTTGCCTGACTCTTTGTTTCTTAAGAAGGAAGTTCTGAGTAATGAACTTTTGTAATACTTTGTAATATAATTCAAAATTCTCTTGGAGAGCTTTGATGCATGTTTATTTGCGCTGACAGTGGCCTACGAGTTTGTAGTAATGTCGTTAGGTGGCTAAATGTACTATTTTACAAGTGCTGTTACCGTTAAGAAACTTTCAAAATTTTATTTAGTGTGGTCGAAGAAAACATTGTAATAACATAGTACCTAGCACGGATGATATTTTGAATACTTTTTCGGGATTGAAAGTATTTGAAAGAAGTAGGAAAGGGAAGTTAAATGTAGAGAATAGTAAAAAACGTGGGTAAAGAACATGAAGCGATGCATGAAGTTAAAAAACAAGTAATTATCCGCTGAATTTTAACGGGCGTCTTTTATTATTTAATTCATACTGAATGTTGTGAAGTTGGAAACCAGGATTCTGCACTTCCATGCGTTTCCTTCTTCCCGCCAAACACCAATATACATACGCACATTACTAGTCGTTCAGTGACGCTTGTAGTGTCTCTGACAAATTTAAAGCGCGTAGAGGCCGTTCGTCGTTAGAGGCCGCAATGTCTAAACCAAGAAGACGTGAGTAGCGCTCGTGTAGTTGCTCGTACCAGTACTCCGCAAAAAAGCGAATCTGTAGCGCCGAGGAAGTAAACTGTATCTCCACACGTGTTGCATAGATTACAGGTGTGGGTTTTTCTCACCATCAACTTGTTATGGCGGGAGGTTCAAGGATTCGGAACCATCAGAACAGGGAGCATAGAAATTTGCTCACCTTCTCTTCGTTTAATTCTATCACTGAGCGACTGACTCGTTTATATGCTCTGTTCTATCTCGAAATCATTTTACAAGTATTATTACCTTGTACGTAGAGACCATGTAGAAAACGTGGGCTTATTCCAATGGGAACGTTCAACAAGATTGCCGTACTGCATAAATTAACGTAGGAAAACTAACTTTGCGTTTATGACTAGTAAATAGTTGAAATTTTGGAACGTTGAAATATCTGAGAACGAGGATTATAGACCGAAGGAATAATAAATGATAAAATTAAAAATAATAATTGCTGCTCTTTAGTTTATAGTCGCTTAACTTATATATATATATATATCCTTTCTAATTACATTTTAAAGATTAGAGTAGTCATCTTTTTACCACTTCTCCTGAAGTATTGTAAAACTGAGTGTGTCCTTTTAATATTTCAGAGTATACTAGGAATTTATTGACTGGCTGAGTGATTAGTAGGATCCTAATTAGTTAAGTTTAGGGTAACATACTAACTTACACAAATATTACCTCAGCTAGTCAATATATTAGCCGCTTGTTAAATGGAGGATTTATTTGTTAACAGGGCCCTGTCACTAGATCCTTTAAGACAAATTTTAATAGGTTTTCCATTTTCATTAAATCTCCCAAGTGGTCTTTTTTTCAGATTTAGTGACTAAATCATTTTACGCTTTCGGTTTATTATTTACTTTTGATTTAATCAATGCCACAATATTGTATAAAGAAAAAATCTTTGACGCTTTTATTTATTCATTATTTTCCATCTTCCTCCCAGTAATCTTTCCAAAGCCCAAACATTCGTATCTTATCTTTTCAGAGACAATGTGACCCTTATAAAACCATATGTAAAATTATTTTGTGTATTTAATCTTTAGGAGAAAGGAACAAAAAATATTCTGAAGTGTATTGCAGCAAACATCGCACAGAATTATACAGGATAATGAAGAAGTTTACAGAATAAATTGTTTAATAATATGCATTCCCTAACTTTTGTTTTTGACGTGGTTGAATATAGAAGGAAGAGATTAGAGGGAGGAGCCCGTGTTGGGGAAATAAATGCACATTAAACTTAGCCTGTAATATATGCTATCACTTGAAAGGTTCGTGTATCTAAAGAATATTAGTATTAAAGCATATGATAAAAGTACAGTAAATGAAGGAGGTGTACTAAGTACACTTGTTCAATGTTGGGTTCAATGGTGGATTGGTTTGAAAACGGTAATAAATTATGCGGTTTTATGACAGCAGGAAACTTCTTGGTCAGATGAGTAACTAACGATTTTTCAAGGAAGACCCTGGAGCAACGGATCAGGTAACTTGTTAATTCTGTAATTCAAGATTTATGAGAGTAGGCATACAAATTCGTTACTTGAATCCCTGCTATTGGAGAAGTTCATTTCGGTCCAGATCACAGTTTCTTCTTTCTCAAAGGTTTATGCCCTCTCATGAAGCATTATGATAATTCTCGCACTTTATCGCATTTAATTCGCATGTGCGTACTATACGATCATTTTATCCTAACCCTCTAAAATTGAAGTTAACATTATTAAGTAAAAATATTTATAATTGTTTCTTCAGTTTATTATGAAATAGCCGCTTTCTACACTTTAAAATTTTTATTGAGAAAAGAATTGCTATTTTATTTTTATTTCCTGAATTAAACTATCTTCTATGCTTCGATCGGTGTAGTAAAGTTAGGAAAAACTGCAAGTTATTAATTATAAAGTTTAGTGATCCATTTTTCTGCCTAATATCTCTTAGTATGCATTTTGACATAAAAATTTTCAGGTGTAATTTTAAATAATTTTCATTGTCACAATTTTTCCATCTGTAGACGTGTATACACCATTAAAACTGAAATTATACGAATGTCATAACCCACATCCACACCCAATTTGATAACTTAATACTTTCATCTTTCGTGCTTCTCTACATATGATCGTCAATTTCAAAGCAAAAGTACAAGTTTCTACGTCCACCACGTTTATTTACTGTGTAAAAACCTTACTAAAATGTTGCATACTTTGCGTGTATCTACGTGGAGAATGGAGATAATCACATAATTGCGCAATTGTCATGATGATGTTAGTGAAGGTATTTATGGAAGTTCGGGCATTAAGTGTCTTCGAACGGCATGATTCTATACCAGATTTTATGAAATTCCATCAGTTTGCTTAAAAATGAATATGTTACACACATGGAAAATTTGAGATCAAAAACCTATACTTCCTTATCATTTGTAGAAAATGGACTAATAAAAATAATTTAACTTTGTATGAATAATAAACAAATAAAAAATACTCAATTAAAATACAAGTGAGCAGACAGAGAAGTGCGTAGGCCACATAACCACCAAAATTAAATACAATGTCTCCTATAAGATATTGCACAGTCAGCTGCTGAAATAATTACGTCCAAGTCTTCAGCCACTAAGCGTGTTTGTAATTATGAAGCACTGAATCCCGAATAATTTTTGTTAAATATTATGCCAAAAGTTTGTGTTTTATACCTCTTAACCTCTATTTATAAACACCGTGTAGTCCCTGTACTAGGTTAGTAGTACATACAAGAGGGACATGAATAAAGCAAGAAAAAGAAATAAGTGAGGGGCGATGATAAATGATATAAAAGAAGGCATAGAGGAGATGGGAGGTAGTTGGGAAGATGAAGACGAAGCGAAAGGCATTTCCTCCGAAGGAAAGGGCATGAGGAATATATAAAAAGAACGTGTGATGTAGGCGATGATGACTACAGAGCAGAAGATTCGCATGCCAAGAGTGACTTATGTTCATACTGCCTTCTTTGTAAACACTGGAACACAGCATATAGGCCTTCATGTCACATTTTATTTATGCAACAGACAG